CCCCCAAAAAAAAAAAAAGAAAAAAACAAAATACAAAAAAATGAAAACATGGAATCTTCTGCGCACAAAGGTAAGCTATGAATCTTATTTCGTCGTAGGCTGATGGTCACCATCAAAACTGCGGCCGCTTGTCTCATTCCCCAAGAGCGGCGTGTTCATGCGGCAGAAGCACTGCGGTCGGACCAGGTGAGGCAATGCGACGAACTTTTGACAAACACAGGATGTTTGATGCCGCCGCCTGAGAGGGTAGTGCGGGGGGCAGGCAGAGCGGCACGTTTGCAAGCAAGGGCACAAATGTCGCCCAACGCACACCGTAACGTAGGGAGGATGCAGGCGAATATTTTTAGAACGGGTTGTTGTCTGCAGCTGGACAGCAAGAGCTGCTGCACGAATCAAAGGCGTATGGGCGCCTGGTCGGCAGGAGGTTGAAAACAAGCGCAACCAGGCGGGCACAAGGCAACGATGTGCAAGTGACAGGGGCATGGGAGCACAAACCAAAACGGCTCCGTCCCGAAATCAACAAAAAAACACACACAAACTGGCAGCAAAGTGCAGGAACGGCACCATAAAGCGGAAAAGCCCAATGACAAATAACTTGCAGCCCACAACTAACACCGTATATAATGTAGCAAAACTACGATGCAAACGGCTCCTCTTGCGATTCTGCCTGTTCGACAAGACGATGTGCCCAGTGTCTGGGTCGCGGTGATTGGCAAATTACGATAACAAGCCGACTGGATGCTTGCAGCCAACCAACGTCCACAAGAACAAACAGCAACTCTCACACGAGCCCTACACCCTCAAAAGCATGATATAGTGACCCTCGAGGACAGCATCAGCCAGCTGCCTCGTCGAACTCGACACCATCCTCGCTGTCATCACCATCACCGATGTCCGTCTCGTTGATTTTCACCTTAGGCATGGGCTTTGGGCTTCGCAGAGTACTTACCTTGTGTTGGCTCTCGGAACTGCTGATTGCCACTGATTGCTCGGTGCAGGATTAATATTTCTCTCTCTCTCTCTCTCTCTCTCTCTCTCTCTGCCGTTGCATCCAGAGGGCCTAGCAGCAGGGTTAATCTCTCGCATGAAACGGCTTCCTTTCTCATGGCTGTGTCTCGAATATGGCCCGCGGCCAGAACGATGAGCCAGCGCTAAGCACTTAGAAATACCATCGGTAGTTCATGTGTTCTTTTCTTGCCGGCAGAAGGAATCATGCGAGTCTAACTGTTTAGAGGGGCTTGCATAATTCCCGGCCGAGCGAGGCTTGGGCCGTGAATGTCCTCTCAGCCTTACTGTTCTTGGCCTTTGTGTTTGTCGTGCATCGTGAGCAGGTGGGATCCGAAATTGGCGTGGTAGGTATTGGACGTGTTGGCCGGGTGGCTTGATTCAACTCAGGGCTACTCGGACGAAGGCCCACCCGATATGACGAAGTGTGCCCACAACACACCAGGCGGAGGAGTCAATTCCCTAGTAGGCTTTGTTAAAGCATTCAAGGCTCCAGCGCTCATCTGGCCCCATGGTTTGTTCACTTCTTGTGCTGTTCTGCGGCAGAAGCAGCCAACTACCGGCTACAAGGCAATCGAAATCACAACACATTAGCACATGAGCTCGTCCGTGCACGAGAAGTTTAGAGACATCCAAGCGGCGTTCTCAGGCAACTCGCCGTAGTTCTTCAAGCTTCGCGCCTCCTCGGCGGTGTACTTCGTGATGATGTCGCCTTTTTCGTCCTGTCAAACGGGCGGACGCGGACATGGATTATGGTGACACTTGGGCTGGGAATGGCTCGGATTCAGGTTCTTGGGTGTCGCAGTTCGGGGCCAGGGTTGATCGTGCGGCCTGGAGCAGAACTGGGTCTAGTCTCGTGGCTTGCTTGTTTGCACAAGTAAGTCCTCGGAGCCATGCTGACAGAATCATGTGTTCACCTCGAAACCAATGCTCTCCAGCCCAACCCCCCTTGCCATAGAAAGAGTTGGGCAATCCAACGTTTGGTAACACCAGACGTCAACATCGATCGGTCTTTCGGCTTAATGGCGTTCGTCTTAGGTCCAGATGTGTTGAACACGCTCTCGTTTCTAGTCTGCACGGATTTCTGTAAGGGTGGATCGTGCACCTTAGGCATTTGTCAGAAGCGGATAACGTGGAGCAGTGGAAACTATGAGGGCTAGTTAGTCCTATGGTATATGAGGAAGCCCGACAGCAAACGCTGCTAATCAGCGAACACCCTTTCAATAGCTGACCGGGAAAGAGTTGCACCTGGAAGTCACGCAGAGAAACCAAGACGATGTCGCCCTGGTTGCACCAAACCTTCTTCCTCATCTTGCCTTTCGCTTGAGCTCTATAGCTGCATTTGCGCTCACATATAAGAGTTCTCGGTTCCGAAATGCCGACTTGATTAATATGGCTTTGCTTGTAGGTTCTTTTGCATGACCAAGGACCCTTCGTCCTAAATATGTAGCTAACACGGTAGATCAGAATCTCGTATTCTACATACAGCGCCGAATAAAGCAATCGCTAGCCGCAAGCAAGGTAAACACGTGTTGCGGACACAAATGACACCACCAACAAGTTGAGGTGGAGCTCGAAACATGGCCACAGTGAAGAGCACGCACGACAGATCTTCAGCCAAGGTACCGCGAATGTGGCACAACCTCGGGCTAGACAGCGATGCCGTATCCCAATGCAGCAGGCAAAAAGAATGTAACCGCCCGACAACTCAACGTCCGAAAAGCGTTCTTTTCAATGCGAAGGGGCGCACCCGAACCCACAATTCAAGAAAGGGCTTGGATGACTGTCGCATATTTCTTCGTTGCATGTCTGGGGCAGGGGCAATATGCGTGTTCCGTATTTGGGGGCTATTCCAAATTACTCGACTCGCACTCGCACGGGGCAGACACGGCTAATTATACAAGTTATGCTGTGCGACGCAGGCATCCACCAACCAAGCGGGAATCCATTAAACATCAACCGGAACCATGACCAAGTAAAACCTACCGAGTAAAGCCCCGAACCGGAAGGTTTTGCGCATGAAGACGAATGCAGCTTCCCTATGGAAGAGAATTAGAAACGATGCTCGAACTGCTGATGTGGAGCCGCTTGACGCCATCAACGCACTGCACATCACAGCGACCGTTCCCAAGCATGCGGGTGATTTGACCATACTCCTGCGCACGCAGCTGTTGAATGCCTGCTACTGCGAGGGTGTGACCATGAAGTGCAAGTCTCCGAAGCAACAGTACCAAACAAATTCGAGCTGTGGTTCTACACGAATAAACACACACACACACACACGTGAATTAAATCCAAAACCTAGCAATAGAATATTAGACTTTATACTCCTACGATTACGGTTCTTCGCAGAATTCTTCATGCTACCCTTGAAACATCTGCTCCGGAGCTCCTGTCCATCCTCCTTGAACTCCAGCTCCTTCTTGTTATTCTCAGTGCTCGCCTGGCAAACAAAAGGAACTTTGGCTTCGGGTTTAGGGTTTTTCTGTACCAAACCTTCTTGCAACCAGCATGCCCACGCTCTGCATATCTCTGCATCAAGAAGAGCGACGGGTAGCATACCGAGCCAACCACTGAGTGAGTAGTGGTTGAAGCGACAGCTTGTCTTTGCTGGAAGATGCTTGAAAGACAACCGCGTGAAAGGCGGAAAAGCTCCGACATTGATTCCTGAGCCCCTCTTAGACAATAGAGGCCCTCAGAAATTCTGCACTCCAATGGCTTCAACTGATTCTATTGCTAGTCTTCTGGATCCCACTGCCAGTTGCCTGGAGAAAGGCTTCTCCAGGCAATTATCCTCCCAGAGAAGGAAGACACCGTACCTGAAGCCCTGAAACGCAACGACGAATCCTAAACTTCCTGAGCCCAAGCAAATGGCCTTGGCACGCTTGGCCTTGTTTCCGCCAAGCTTGTTCTTAGGCATGGTGTCCGACCTCACATGTGGGAGAGTTCGCACTTTCGTGGCTCAGCAGATCCCCCCCCCAATTCTAGTCGAAGCTTCAACATCGATGCCGCAGTGTAAAACGGACTGTGTATCGCTGAAAGCATCAGCCTCTGAGGCTCTGAGTGTCAAGCCCCCAGAGGTCTGAGCTAGGTAGGCCCCCTGGGCACCCCCAAAGCCTTGGACTTGGAACCGCGATCTCAGATCTGAGGCCATGGCTTAGATAGACACAAGGCTCGAACACAAAATCCGGTGCACTGAAATACTGCTAGCGAGCCGAAAGCCAGCAGTAGGACAACCCCAAGCTCTTCGTGAATGCTTGGTCATGCCGCCATCCTCTACACAGGAGAGGCCCTGAACCACGGAGCATGCACTTCTGTCCCTTGGACCCTTCACCCTGTAGATCAGCTCGACTGAACCTTGCACCAGTCAGAAAAAACTTACATTAGTCATTAGTCGTGTGAGCTGACTGACAGGAATGTCCAAAGAGAGAGGGCTGAGATTGCAACTCAGAGTGGACTGCTGGCAGATTCATTCTGAACTGGCTGAGTCTGCATGGTTTGCGTGCGCACTGACTTTAGGATCTTTTAGGCATATGCCGGGCAGACGCAAACGCCTGTGCGCACTCACCGGCGCCGCTTCGAGTCTGTGTGGCATCTCATGCACGATGTAGCCCATGTCCTCGGTTCGAGCTGGACTACACCGAATTGTTCGATCAAAAAATATCAAAAACACGCGCTGCTTGGCCTGCGTAGTTATCCCTGAACCGGAGCACCCTACGGGCAGTGGCTGGTACAGCGGCTTTTCAGATCTTTTCAGTTTTATCCAAACCCACCCTGGCAATTGATGCTAGATGTGAGGCTGTGCAAATCAAGCGGCTTCTGATATTGCTTTTTTTCGCACTGGGTGTGGAACGAGAACCATGCAGTTGAAGCTTTGCCAATTGTAAGCGCCAATACAGGCCGCATGCAGCAACAAGCCGGCTTTGGATCCAGAAACATGCCGGGCCACTTCGCAACCGATCGCAGTGTCGGACCTCACACCGCAAGGCTGACTCGAAGGAGTTCAACAACCCTCTGGCCCGCAGCTGCGCAGCTGTGGACCGCGCCTGCGTTCCCTTGCCGGTCCAGTCAGTCATCCTTTTTTGAGGCTACCTGCCGACCGCCAAGAGCAACAGCTTCCCTGCCACCATGCAGCCGCAGAAAGCTGCAGCTTGTCATTCGGGTTTGTGAATGACAATCTGCAGTCTGTATCAACCCGACAGACAGAGCGCACAAAGCGAATGGTGATACATGTTTACCTGCGGTGCAAGAAACGATCGCCATGCATGAAAGGTCGCGACGCGAACGGTTATTGCTCTTATGCGCGATAGCTACTCCTGTCGGAAGGATGCGGAAAAGGGCCTCCTCATGGGCCTCGGACCCTTCACTTTCAGCAGCGCGGCTTTGCCTCACGGATGGCGTTTGATCAACGCTTCTACAACCCGACCTCTGCTCCCACGGGTCCGAAAAGCACAAGGTCGCAGGGCCACTTCCGGCTGAACTCAGCAAGCAGGGATCAAGGCATGCACCTTCACCCCGGCTCACATAATACAGATGTGACAAATCCTCCCAGAAGCAAGTGCCATCTCGGCCGGACGTCCAACGAAGGACAAATCCCGCTGCGCTACGTCCCATCCCGCTGGGCTCCGAGCGCCAGCTCTCTCACTTGATCCTGGGCGGGTCTCAAGGCCCAAGGGCTGGTTGATGTCGTAACGAATTCATATGAGAGTAGAATAGGGCCAAGGGCCCTGGAATCTTGAACCGCGGAGAGTGGTTAGAACAGCACAATCAACCCTTGCACTTGCAACCCTCACTTGGATGGGAGGAGTTGGAACTCAACTCTGCCAACTCGCGGCTGTTCTGCAGTAGCAGCACAACTAACCTGCAGCAAGCGACCCGCAATCTTCAATGTGCTCGAGAAACGAACCTGAGAATGATCAAGTTGAGCACCTCATCGGCTCAGTGCCGCAAACAGCAACTGAACGGAACCCTGGCCGAACACATTGGCTTCATGATGCTTCATGGAACCAGTCGTAGCAGTAGCAGTGGTAGCAGTAGTAGCAGTTTGGCTGGCCGAATGTCTGAATCCTAGAAAATAGAATTCGACGCCCTCAGCTCTTATGTTTAGCAAGTCCTCCTGTCGACGCTGTCTCTGAGACTGTTGACGTTCCATGTGGCCTGAAGACGGGCACATCGTTCGATGGATTTCAAGCTGCATCAAGTTATGAGACAGCAGGGTCCGCAGGAAATCGTTTGATGCATGACTTGGCGGATGAAAGCGCACTCGAAGGCTTAAGGCTTGGGCACACTAGCGCGCCAACCGCTATCAACGCAACGGCAATGATTTGCAGCCTGGGTCAGCTGAAAGAAAACCACCTCACACACGCACGCGCACGCACGCACGCACGCACACACACACACACACACACACACACACGCACACACATATATATATATATATACACACACGTGCTGTATGCTGAAGCTTTTGCCCAGGTCCGGCAAAGACCACGATGCATCCATGCACTGAAGTGCTTCCATAGCTGTGGGCCGTGCCCGTACTTTGCGAGCAGCGTGGCCACAGACTAGGTGGGACAATTGGCAACTGCTTTTATTTATGGGAAACATGTCTTGCAAACACCGTCCGATCAGCACGACTGTTCACCAGGCTTTGCTGTTGCACCCCCAAACTCAAGCAAGTGGTGCTCAACTTGCTAGATTGACACAACATGTTCAACCGCGGCCAAGACGATGGTGGCTCGGTGGTACAATGGCCTCGCAAGTCAAGGGGCCACCGGCCTACGAAAGAAGGAAAATTCATGAAAGACTGCATATAAGTGTGCAGTGTGCGGCTGGCTTCAGCATCAGGCGGCTGCAGGGTCTCCGGGGGGGGTCTGTCCGTTCTGGTGTTAGAAGGTCCGCTCCATGGAGACAGAGGCAGATGTCAGTTGGAATAAAAAGCAAAATTAAGGCAACTAACACGTGATATAGTGGTGAAACAAAGATAGTACCAGGTGAAACAAACGGTAAGGAACAAGTAAAGACAAAGTGGGAAAACATTGAAGACCGGGCCTGGTTCTTGCTGTGTCTCAGCTTTGTTTTGCCTTGTCTTTGCCTGTATCCGACCTTCTCCATCGGAACGATGCTTCTAATTCTGGTGCTCCGGCGCATGCTGTGTGCCTATGCTCAATGACAGCAAGTTCGAACCACCGGTTGCAAAAACACGGGCGAGGGTATTCTGGCATCACATGGCGCCAACACAGGGTAGAGCCCAATGCCATCCTCGGCACTGTGAGATCGGAACAAGTTCTGCAGATGAAGGAGTTCTTTTCCAACAAAATATCGCGGGGCCAACCTCATGCCTTCTGGGATTGCGGAGCGCAGAGTGTGCATCGCCCGACCACGCAGTTTTCATGAACATTCCGTTGTTGAGGAGACGTTGCGAGATGTGCAAGGTTGACGTGCATCAAGGTGCTCAGGCTTGTATAAATCATGTATGGCTGGTGCACTGTCAGAGCTTCAGACCCTTTTACTTAGAGTAGGGACGGCGGCCACCCACTTCGGTGTGGGCAATCCTCCTGGGGACCTAAGCGCAGCGCAGCGATTCCAGAACCAATGTCATGTGTGACATCGCGCAGCGCCGACATGCCAAAGACCGGCTGCGAAAGACCACGACCGTTCGCCCCCGCCCCCCCCTCTCAACTCATGCCTGGCCTGACAAGTTGATCCTGTACTGAAGGTGGTGCATGTGTACACTGTCACTAACACGAGCGCTATCCAAAAATCACAGAAGATTCGGCCGCCGCCTGTCAAATGGGTACATGTCGCCTTCTTGTCCTTTGTGCCCTGTCAAGCTCTTGTCAAGTGGTTCCAAAAAATATTCACACTGCGAAAAGAAGAGTTTTTCACTGCCGGCTGTGGCCTTGCAAGGCCCACGGCTCCAAATTCTCCAAACCTGGCCACTACAATCTTTCATGCATGCTGCCAATTATCCTTCTGTTACCCACACAGCCGAACTCCGAACTTCTGGGACTGCGGCTTCTGCGCCCGGAGAAACCATACCTCATGACGGGTCAAGAGTCACAGGGGGCCGTGCCGCATTTTTTTTTGCACATAGGCTACCATTGTAGCCAAACCGTGGTATCACAAAACACTGCCCAGTCTGGACAAGGAGGCGTCTGCCAATTCAGGCTCGGCACACCCTGCCCTTCGAAATGAGCTTCAAGGTCGGGAAGCCCCGCACATCGAACATGTTCGACAAGTACTGGGACTGGCAAATCGGGGCGCGCGAACACGCAACTTCTTCAGCATCATGTGTCCGCATTGCTGCAGGCTGCATTTCGGCACAAAGCCTCTGTACAATCCACCTTGCCGACGTTGACTTGACCTGGCGCTCAGAACAGGCAAAACTTGCGAACCTGTCGTGATCATCTGCAGGGATGCAACAACGTCTCGGGACATGGCCTTGAACTTTCTTCGCCAATGACTCCCATGTAGGAGCTATCATCTGCAGAATATACATGCTTGACAGGCGCTGCTGGCTATGCGCAACATGCCCGCGCCATCCAGCAAACAACAGCAAACTCTGCAGAGTGCCTTGCAGTGTCCACACCATGGCCTGGATACGCACCCTCTATCACTTACGCGTGGCCACTGCACTGACCGTGACCAAGCATCGCACGCGTAAAACTTCACGACCCATGGCCTCAGTGCAATCGCGATCTGTACATCAAAAGCAAAAACACCGCCTCATCATGCCACAGGCGGTGTACGTGGACACTGACAGAACAAGCAACCACAAAAATGAAAGTGAGTCTTCCTGCGGCATTCTCTGAAAGACCGAATATCATCCATTGGGTGTGCTTGTCTGCCAAGCCTGTCGTCGCCGCGCTTGACAAGGTCCTTCAAGGTTGCACTGGCATGTCATTCCGATTGCCAGATCCCGGTCATGCCATTTGCCAATCATTTTGTCTACTCTCCTGGAAGTTGCTGTCCGTCAAATTCACGACCAGTGACTGCCATTGCCATCACGTTCAAGACAAGTTTGGCCAGCACGCATGCCCAACGACACCAACACATGCTGCAGCTGCCAGGTCAGGTGCGTCCGCAAGACATCCAGGACACAACACGCCGCTAAGCAACGACCAACAACAACCACAACAACAACAACAACAACGACGGCAAGAACAAACCATGACACCGACACCAAGGCCTCCGCTTCTTCTGCCAGTGCATACTGCAACTCCGCCAAAGCTATTGTAATGCCGAAAATGGCACCTGCAAAACGCGTGCCATCCAAATACAAGGCCCCTGTATGGGTCCTAAATTCGTGGGCCCATGAACGCCACAAGAACAGCTGGAGCACCCAATGTAGCAGCACTGCCCATGGCGGGATAAATTTCAAGTGCCACAACTTCAGACGTTTGGGTAAGCGCCTCCTTACATATGAAGCATTCGGATGTTTCTCGTGTCTCCAAGTAGGAGCGAATGTATTCGGTGAACATCTTGAGCAGGGCAGCTTCGGGCAACCAGGCAAAATTCAACATGCCCAGCAAACCTCATGCCACAAATGCCTGTCAGTGCCCCACACATGCAACACCCTTGGTAATACCACGCCAGCGAGATGTTTCGCATTGCATCCCAAATTAAACAACCAGCCAAAAAAACTGACGACAACAAAAATCCAAGGCAAACAACGATGTACCAACGCAACACCAGCAGCACCTGCACCATGAACAACAACAACAACAACGACGGCAACAATAAAAACAATGGCAACAGCAACAACCACATCAACAACAACCTAAACCATACGACAACCACCACAACAAATACAAATGCGGCGACCTCGACCATTGTTTGAAGCGTTGTCGTGGTGGGCTGTGGTTGTGCTTATTGCTTTTGCTATTGATATTGTTATTTTGGCTGCTGCTGTTATTGCCGCTGTTGCTGTTGCTGCCGCTGTCGCTGCTGTTGTCGTTGTTGTTGTTGTTGTTCTCGTTGTTGTTGTTGTTGCTGTTGTTGTTGTTGTTGCTGGTGGTGGTGGTGGTGGTGGTGGTGGCGGCGGCGGTGGTGGTGGTGCTGGTGCTGGTGCTGGTGGTGGTGGTGGTGGTGGTGGTGGGGGGTGGTGGTTGTGGTGGTTGTGTTGTTGTTGTTGTTGCTGCCGTTGTTTCTGGTGTCGTTGTTGTTGGTTGTGGTTGTTGTTGTTGTTGCTGCTGCTGCTGCTCTTGTTGCTCTTTTTGTTTTTGGTGTTGTTGGTGTTGTTACTGCTGCATGCAATTATGCTGTTGTTGTTGCTGCTGTTGCTGTTGGTGTTATTGTTGCCACTGCTGTTGGTGCTGATGTTGCTGCTCAAACTGCTTCTTTGTAGTCATGGCCGTTGTTTTTGCTTTTGTTGTTGTGGTTGCGTTGGTGGTTATTCTTGTTGTTGTTGCGGTCGCTGTGTTTGCTGCTGTTGTGGTTTCTGTTGTGATTGTTGTTAAGGTACTCTGTTGCTTTCGCCGCGTCGCTTGCTGGATCGCCGCATCCTGTCGTGGCTCGCCTGTTCGGGTGACAACGGACACGAGGGCTGTGTCATCGGCGAGTGGCGCGTCGTGCCAGTGGCACGCCATGGCATGCACTGCACACGATCTTGATCCTGTGGGCATCAGGGAGCTCCGTCTGTCAGCTGCATCCTGAGCTGTGAGGCCAAGCGGCAGGTTACGCGCCACGTAGTTCGCCCGAGGGCCCGCCATCCCGACGGCCACAACCGACCAGGACCAACACGACAGCCAGGACGACGAGGAGACCATTAGGAGGCTGCTAAACACCACCTGCCTCCACCAGCGAACCGTTAGCAGACGTAGGACCACCAGGAGCCCCACAACCAGCATGTAAGGAAACTGCAACGCATGTTGAATGCTTTGGTTCCCGGCCGAAACTGCGACACATTTTTTAGGTGACATTGAAAAACTGTTGCATACTTATGTACTACACATTTTTTGTTTATGGGGTGTGTCTGTGCGTGTGTGTGTGTGCGGGTGTGTGTGTGTGTGTCTGTGTGTGTGTGTGCGTTGCGCCCGTGTGTGCGTGGTTTATGTCTGGGGATTACGCTTTAGAGCTTAGTGGTGTAGGGCTCAAGGGTTTAATGTTTAGCGTGTTGTGTGTGTGTGTGTGGTGTTTCCCCGCTTTACCGAGGAAGGCGCTGGCAAGAGTTCTGCCATAGACACATAACGCAGAACACGGCACAAAACTACAGAACTCATGACGTAGAAAGACATAGCATGACCTACCATAATAACGTGACATGGACAAACACAGCATGACTCAACATGACACAACATAAACGAACATAACATAACATGGCCCGTTCATGGCATGACGTAACATAACACCTGACAGGACCCACGACCCCGAATGCGGATATGCCTCCCCAGAATATGCATAACAGCTTGACATCTCTCCTTTCCTCTCTCTCCTCTCTCCTGTCATTCCCCTCTCCTCTCCTCTGCTCTCCCCTCTCCGCTCTCCCCTCTCTCCCCTGTCTCTCATCTCTCTCGTCTCCTCTCCTCTCCTCTTTCCTTTCCTCTCCTCTCTCCTCTTTCCTCTCTCCTCTCTCCTCTCTCCCTCGCTCCCTCTGTCCCTCTCTCCCTCCCTCCCTCCCTCTCT